CTGCCATGGCCGCAGCCAGCACAGGCTCGTCGGCTCATCGACCGCCGCAGCACCGTTCACCAAGCTCGTCCGTGTCACACGACACGCCAGATTTTCGTGCTCCGTCACTGCCATGGCCGCAGCCAGCACAGGCTCGTCGGCTCATCGACCGCCGCAGCACCGTTCGCCAAGCTCGTCCGTGTCACACGGCACGCCAGATTTTCGTGCTCCGCCGTTGCACGGCCATGGCCAGTCGCGATTCTCTACGTCGCCGGACTGCATGGTGGTCGAACCGACTACGCCCGCAGGTGTCATCGACCTCAACATCACGCCGGGGTACAGTGGCGCTGGCCATTGTGAAGACGGCTCGCAAAGGAAGCAGCCCGGTCATTCGAGTTCGGCTACCATTGCCGGCGCCCGCAAGTTGTTCGGCGATATGCCACATCCGATGCAGACGCCTACGGTTCACGAACCGGCAGAAGGAGATGTTTGCCCGCGACGGCATGGTCTAGGTAAGACGACGGCCGCGATGGCCACGATGACGGTCCTTTTTGAAGGCTGGCTAGTGTCCCGGCCGCTGGCTTTGTCTCTTTTGAAGGCTGGCTAGTGTGCCGGCCGCTGGCTTTGTTGCCGGCGTCAAACTGTAGGCCGCCGGTTGTGTTGCCGGCCGGCGTGAGCCAGTGCAAACCGCAACCGCGGCTTAAAATTCACTTCTGCATGCACGCGGACAAGATGCGGTCGAAATGCGGCCACGCGTTGGGCGCCCTTCCGCCGCATCCACGAATCCGGGCGGACACGGCCTCATTGCCACATTCAAATGGACGAAATCCGGACAAAACGGACGTCCGTTTGGGATCGCGCGTTAGAGTTGGCCTTAGCTTGGTAATTTCCTCCCGTTCCCTTCTCCTTTGGCGAGGCAAGTGCAACCTGGCCAGCACTTTCAAGTAATAATAGTACTAACAAAGTTTTTCATACATACATAAAATGGATTGTTCTACAATGATAACAGATAAACTAAACCTGCTTGGGCACCGATGCGGTGAGCCAACATAGCAACTTGCAAGCACATAAGATTGAGATCCTCGTTACGATTTGTGCACAAGGCAGTCTCGAGTCATGTTCATGACAGTTGCACTTGCCATTTCCTAGTGAGAAGTACACCTGGACTGTTGCTCGCGGTGTTACCTGGCCCTAGATTGTATCTTTCTGCATTGAGCACAAGATGACAACACCGAGAGGATGGCGCCACAGCGTGCTTAGTAACTGTCGTTGTTGCCTTCTGCGCAGATCACGTCAAACACACGCCAGTTTAGATTACGTTAGTGCAAGCCCGCCCTCTGAAGTTCGATTGACCAGGCTGGGTAGCACCTGCATGCAGCTATGCAGATGCCACTGGTCAAATCAAAGGGATCAAAGTCTAAACATGGCTGGCTTGGACCGATCGGAGCATATTCAATGCATGGTTGCGTGCTTACGGTCCATAAGCACGATTCAGTTTCAGTCTGATGTCATGCACGAATTGACCGGGCCAATTGTGGGAACATACATTAAAAAATCTGTTCTTTTCACTTGGAGTGAGTTGGTGAACTGCAAAAGCAAGAAACGATTGGTCGGTTTTACTACGACGAGGTAGGATTAGGAATATCCAGGTAGCATCACGTAACCTTGCTGTGGGATGACAAAAAAGTTTGGAACTAGGTGAGCCACGGGCTTCTACCCTTTGTCTTCAGTGGGAAGAGACACGGCCGGGGTCCTTGTCCGCTAGGAAACTGAATTTGAAGTGCATGTTGCGTCGGAACAAGGTCTCTTGTACGTACTGAAGTCGAAGTTGGGCGGAGCGAGGCACCAAAGGACTGCTGCTTCGTCTGATCTGGACAAACAGCTCGGTTGCATCTTCAAAAAAAGAAATGACACACAAGAGAGCGCTTTATTTCGTTAAAGCCATAAGATGAGTATACTCTGAGTTCGGAAAAAGCTACTGTTCCCGGTCGAAGAAACGGCACTCAAGGTTTTCTTTTAAATGTGTTCAGGACGCAAATCCTATAGGAAGCTTACCGCGGTGTATAATATACCAATCGCACAGACCAAGCACAATAACGATGTAAATGAGCAGGCCCAACTTACTAAAGTGTATCCTGTTTTTTTTTTTGAGGAAAAAGAGTAACACTCCATTACTCTTGAGCCGATTCCATGTCAGCTCTCATCTCTTCCACTAAATCATCCGGGACACCTGCAACTTTGTACGCGTCTCCTTTTTTTCTCGCCCGGGCCGCCAAGCAGTGAGCCAATTTGTTCTGATTCCTGTTGACATAGTCCACCCGAGCATTTCTGAATTTTGATAGTTCAATCTTGGCATTGTGTATGACTGAAAAATAGGCAGAACGGTTGCTGGCTTCAGATTGGATTTCTTTTGCTAAAAAGGAGCAGTCTGTTTCCGCAATGATGGGCCCTCTGAACAGAGCCGCTAAAGATTGGAGCCCCGACAAGAGAGCTCGGGCCTCCGCTTCCTCGACCGACGAGCAACACTCGATACTTTTAGACTGCGAGAAGACCACCAGGCCCCTGTGGTCGCGAGCTACTGCACCAATACATGCCTGCCCATTGTTAGCCAAGAAAGAGGCATCAGTATTCAGTTTCACCAGGCCATTACT